TTGCATCTCTCTAATGATTAATGAGGGAGCTCTGGTAGCATAGTGGCTAAGGCACTTGACTGCTAACCAGAAGGCTGGCGGTTCAAACCCACCAGCCGCTCCTCAGAAGGAAGATGGGGCAATCTACTTCCGTAGTGATACTACCTCGGAAACCCATGGAGGGGTCGCTATGAGTCGGGTCCTACTCGATGGCACATAACAACAACAACAACGATTAATGATCACAAGCAATTTCTCGTGTGTTTGTTGGCAGCCTGTATATCTTCTTTGGTGAAGTGTCTGTTCAAGACTTTTGCCCATTTGTGAATTGGGTTATTTGTCTTTTTGGTGTTGAGATGTTGAAGTTTTCTATAGATTTTGGAGATAACTCCTTTATCTGATATGTCATAGGCAAATATTTTCTCCCAGTCCATAGGTTCTCTTTTTACCTTTTTGATGAAATCTTTCGATGCTCACAATAATTTAATTTTTAAAAGGTCCCGGTCATCTAGCTTCTCTTCTATCTCCTGCACATTCTGGGTTGTGCTTGATAGTCTATTTATGCCATAAATTGGGGCTCCCAGATTTGCCCCTGTATTATCTTTGATGAATTTTATAGTTTTGAGTTTTACATTTAAGTCTTTGATCCAGCTTGATATGTTTTTCTGTATGGGGTGAAGTATGGGCCTTGTTTCATTTTTCTACAGATGGATATGCAGTTTTGCCAGCATCATTTGTTAAAGAGTCTGTCTCTTCTCCATTTAATGGGTTTTGGACCTTTGTCAAAGATCAAATGGATGGATGGGTCTATATCTGGACTTTTGATTCTGTTCCATCTTTTGCAACAGATTTTCCCAATGCAATATGTTGTCTGATGCCTTGATTGCTGCTTCCATTGGTGCTGGCTGTGGAACCCAGTAATATATGTTTAACAACTTCAATTTTTATTTTTCTATAATTTCCACATTCTGTGGGATCACCTTTCTTTAGAATGGGCACAAATATGGATCTCTTCCAGTCAGTTGGCCAGGTAGCTGTCTTCCAAATTTCTTGTCAAGGACAAGGGAGTGTCTCCAGCACGGCATTCATTTGTTGAATATCTCAATGGGTATTCCATCAATTCCTGGAGCCTTGTTTTACACCAATTTCTTCAGTGAAGCTTTGACATCTTCCTTCAGTACATTAGTTTTTTATTATATCCCACCTACTGAAATGGGTGAATATCAGCCAATTCTTTTTGGTACAGTGACTCTGTGTATTCTTTCCATCTTCTCTTGATGTTTCCTGAGTCATTAAAAAATTTGTCCATAGAATCTTTCAATATTGCAACCTGAGGCTTAAATTTTTTTCTTTGGTTCTTTCAGCTTGAGAAATCTTGAGTGTCTCTTACCTTTTGCTTTTCTAACTCCTAGTCTTTGCATATTTCATTATAACAATTGGCTTTGTCTTCTCAAGCTGCTCTTCGAAATCTTCTCTTTAGCTCTTTTATTTTGTCATTTCTTCTATTTGCTTTAACTACTCTGCATTCAAGAGCAAGTTTCAAAATCTCTTCTGACATCCATTTTGGTCTTTTCTTCCTTTCCTGTCTTTTTAATGACTTTTTGCTTTCTTCATGGATGATGTTCTTGATATCATCCCACAATTCCTCTGGTTTTTGGTCATTGGTGTTCAATGTGTCAAATCTATTCTTTAGATGATCTCTAAATTCAGGTGGTATATAATTAAGGTCATGTTTTGGCTCTCATGGACTTGTTTTAATTGCCTTCAGCTTCAAGTTGAACTTGCATATGAGCAGTTAATGGTCTGTTTCATAGTCAGTTCCTGGACTTGTTTGGCTTGTAGGTGTAGGACCATGTATATAATGTGTATGAAACCACGATGTGGGTTTTATGCCATCACATTAGGGTTAAAATGAGCCATTCCAAAGGAGGAAAACTCACTGCCATCAAGAGAGAAGAGCTGGGAATGGAGTGCATCATTGGACCCAAGATCCCTGTGCTGAGACAGCAGAGAGATGGTGGCAGCAGAGGTAGCAGAATGAACAGAACCAAGACACCATCACACAAGACAGAGTGGCAGGCTTCCTGGCCCACGGAGCAAGAAAACTGAGTAGCTTCGGGAAGGAGGCTTACTGACAGAATGGGGTTCCTCTCTGGAAACCTATTCAACAAAGCTAAAAGAAATATGTAACAGTGACCTGAGCTGGGCAGAGGCAGAGACAAAGAAGCATATGTGTAGCATGGCTGAAAGAAAGTTGTCCTGATTAAAGAACAGTATTCTGATTTATTTTTCATGCTGAATTATAATCAGTTCCCTAATAAATCCCATAATTGTAAGTATTTTGTGTGAGGTCTGTGTGACCATTGCAATGAATTATTGAACCAAGCAGAGAAATAGAAAAGGCCATGGGAGGGACAGTTGGTGGCAAAATTGGTAGAAAGTTTGGAGGATAGTTGCATGTCCGACCCCCACCTTATAAGAATCAGTTTTAGGTTGATAGTGATTCTCTCTCTTCCTTATAAAGTTGGAGAAGGTCAGACAACAATGCCCTACACCATTTTTCCACCTCCATTAATGAATTAAGGGAGCTCTGATGGCGTAGTGCCTAAGGCATTTGATCAAACACACCAGCCACTCCTCAGAAGGAAAATTGGACAATCTATTTCCATAGTGATACCGCCTCGGAAACCCAAGGAGTCGTTGCTATGAGTCAAAATCTAATTGATGGCAGTGAGTCTATTTTGTTTTGTTTTGTTTTGTTTTTATTAATGAATTAATGCGAGAAAAGAGAGTGAGATGTAAGTGGATAAAAAATATTCTCTAATTTCCCCACCAAGAATGAGTTGAAGTGCCTGCTTGGTTCTGTGCTAGGAAGATTATAGACAAAAAATGTAGGCACAGTGTTGCAAGAAAGGCCCAGAGGGAACAACACCCCAATTTCTGCAGAAATTTATTCATCCTTATAGCAGAAGAGGTAAGTACTTGGACTACTGGAGAATCTCTAGTGACTAGACTAGACGTTTGGGAATGCAACACTTGTCTACTCATCTGTCCATCCATCCATCAATATCCATCTGTTACTTTCATTTATCCTCACTGCAAAAATCCATCCATCCATTTGCATCACTAAAATAGTGACTCTTTGGTTCAAAGAATAAAATAAAATTACCTGCCATGCAAAACTTCTTCTACAAAGGAATTAAAATGCTTCATAAATTCTTTTCTATAATCTTCAGGTGGAAGCCAATGGATAACTTGGTATGTTTTTTTTTCCTCTTTCAAATCTAAGAGAGCACCAGAGAAGGAAAAAAGTTGAGTAGCATAATGACACCCAAGTTTGTCTATTCTAATAAATTTTCTATTTTTTAAAAAAGATTACTGTTTTGCTTTGTTTTGGTTACAGACATTTGAATATGGACATTGAGGGGGAAATATCTGCCTACCATAGTTCACCCTTTAGCTCCTGTATATTCATATCCATTGCAAATGCAAATTTTGTGGATTCACTCTCTAATGCAATTATATGAACTGATAAGATTTACTGAGAACCTTACACTTGTTCCAGTACTTTTATTCAGTTTAAATTTATAAAAGTGTACATTTATAGCTTTCATTTAAAGGTATAGCCATTCCTCCAAATTTATTGTTGAGAAAACAGAGGCATATTGAGTTTAAGAACATTTGTCAAGATTACACACATAGTGAGTGGCAACGATTGTATTCAAATGCATGCTTATTTAACTCCAGAGCCCACGCAGTTTCTGCCTTAGAAAAACTAGTTTTTATTTTCTAATGTGATGCATGTAAATAGGTTTTTCAGTCAAGAATTACCGAAAGCCTAAATTAAAAATGTTAATCTCCTGCATCACAAGCATACCAGCTTGGCTTCTCCTCCATTACTACTACCAGTTGCCCTTGAGTCCACTATGACTCACCGCGACACCGTGATTGTCAGAGTAGAACAATCCTCCATAGAGTTTTCCTTTTGACATAAAATATAATTCATTTTGTTATTGTGCTTGTTGAGAACATACACCGATTTCCCAGTTTCTACATGTGCAAGTCAGTGACATTGATCATACTCTTCAGGTTGTGCCACCATTCTCACCTTCCTTTTTTGAGTTCATTTTCCATTACATTCCCCCTAAGGAGCCTATCTAATCTTTCAAGTCATGGTTGCCAACTTAATCCTATACAGACAGACCTTTAGAAATCATAATACTTAAGGCAGACATTCTTTACTTGTTAAGTTAAGCTAATATTTGTTTTGTTTTGTTTTGTTTTCGGAAGACTTCAAGGTATATTTTTGTTTTAAGGTTTAAAGACCATCGCAGGGTAATAGGTTCAAGGGTTCATTTACTCTCCATGTCTCCAAAAAGTCTAGATTCCATGAAATTTTAAATTATGGTTTGCATTTTTGCCTATTTGACCAGAATTCTTCTGTAGCATCTTTGATCAAAATGTTCAGTAATAGTAGCCAGACACCACCAAGTGTTCTGGCCTCAGGGCACAGGAGGAAGTTGTTCATAGAGGCCATTAGCAGCACATCCATTTCCTCCTACTATTCCAAACTCTCCTTCCTCTGTTACCCCAGGTAAATAGAGACCATTCATGTGCCTTGGATGGCTGCTTCCAAGCAACCATGGAGTTTTTCAAGGGTGATTTTTTTGGAAGTAGATCTCTAGGCCTTTATTCCTAGGCATCCCTGGATGGACTCAAACCTCCAAGCATTTGATTTGCAGCAAAAGCGTTAACCGTTTGCACCACTCAGGTACTCCAAAATTGTTGCTTTTATTATTAGGTGCTGTGAATTCACTTCCAACAACAGCAGCCCCATTCATACCAAACTGTTACACTGTCCACTCCTGCGCCATTCTCACTATCAGTGCAATGAATGAGCCCATTGTTGCAGCCACTGTGTCAATCCACCTCAATGAGGGTATTCCTCTTTTTGCTGACCCTTTACTTTACCAAGTATGATGTCATACTCCAAGGAATGGTCCCTTCTAACATGTCAAGTGTATACGCAGCAAAGTCTCAGCATCCTGACTTCTAAGGAGCATTCTGGCTGTACTTCATCCAAGATAGAATTGTCCATTCTTCTGGCAATCCATGGTTAATTCAATATTCTTCACCAAAACCATAATTCAAATGCATCAATTCTTCCTCTGTATTCCTAATGCATTGTCCAGCTTTTGCATGTATATGAGGCAATGAAAAATACCATGGCTTGGGTCAGGTGGACCTTTGTCTTCAATGTGATATTTTTGCTTTTTAACACTTTAAAGAAATCTTTTGCATCAGATTTGTCCAATGCAATACATCGTTTGACTTCTTGACTGCTGCTTCCATGGGTGTTGATTGTGGCTTCAAATAAAATCTTGACCACTTCAATCTTTTCTCCATTTAAAATTATGTTTCTTATAAGGTTCTTATCCTTAATTGTCAGGATTTTTATTTCTTTTATGTTGAAGTGTTATCAACCCTGAAGGCTGTAGTCTTTGATCTTCATTAGTAAGTGCTTCAAGTCCTGTGCACTTTCAGCAAACAAGGTATGTTCTGTTGTACATAGGGTCAGTATGAGTTGGAGTCAACTCGACAGCACCTAACAACAATAGCAATAAAGATTCCATTTCTGTAAGTTTGACTGGAGATAGCTTTCAAGTACCACCTTCTTCTTCCTTTCTCTGCCTCGGCAGAGCAAACTGATCAGAAACTGGCCGCTCTCTCCTTTGCTGCTGGCATGAATTTCACATCATATCCAGGTCCATGTAGGGGAAACTTCACTCTATCCCAAGTGAAAGCCTCAATAAGCACTCAAGCCAGTCACCTCTCCATCATATCTTCTTAGGAGCCTGCACTATTGTTTCCAAAAGCCTCATTATATGACTATTAAATGTTTTTATACCATCTCGATGAATGTGTGCCACCACTAGTTTTGACTTCAGAAACACATTTTGGGTGAAAAGCTGATCCCATTCCCCCAAAGGCAAGTACAAGACAATTGACATAGTGAGATGATGTCTAGATAATGACCACCACTACTAAGGGTCTTATTCTCTTGGCTTGGCCTCCTCACTGGAGCTACTACTACCTACTGGTGAGCAAATATTTCAACTGTTGCCCACTAACAAGCTTAGTGCCATTAATTGTTGTTGTTAGGTGCTGTCAAGTCAGCTCCGACTCGTAGAGACCTTATATACAACAAAATGAAACACCACCTGGTCCTGCACCATCCTCACAATCCTTGCTATACCTGATCCCATTGTTGTAGCCATTCTGTTGATCCATCTTTTTGAGTGTCTTCCTTTTTTTCACTAACTCTCTACTTTATCAAGCATGATATCCTCCAGGGATATCCTTCTGGCAACATGACCAAAGTAGGTGAGAAGTCTGGCCATTTTCACTTCCAGGAGCATTCCTGTTGCACTTCTTCCCGGACAGATTTGTTTGTTCTTCTGGCAGTTCATGGTATTTTCAGTATTCTTTGCCAATACCATAGTCCAAATGCATCAGTTCTTCTTCTGTCTTTCTTATTCATTGTCCAGCTTTCACATGCATATGAGATGACTGAAAAATACCATGGCTTGGGCTAGGTGCACCTTAGTCTTCAAAGTGATGTCTTTACTTCTAAACACTTAAAAAAGGTCTTTTGCAGCAGATTTTTCTGGTACAATATGATATCTGATTTCCTGACAACAGCTTCCATGGGTGTTGACTGTAGATCCAAGAAAATGAAATCATTAGCAATGTCAGTGTCATCTCCATTTATTGTGATGCTGCTTATAGGTCCAGTTGTGAGGATTTTTGTTTTATGTTAAGGTGTAATCCATACTGAAGACCAGTCTTTGATCTTCATCAGTAAGTGCTTCAAGTCCTCTTCACTTTCAGCAAGCAAGGTTGTGTCTTATGTATCACAGGTTGTTAATGATTCTTCCTCCAATCCTGATACCATGTCCCTGTTCATATTGTCCAGCTTCTTCCATTGGCTTAATCCTAAAAAGCTGAGGTTAAATATTTAACAAATCTAAGCCAGAAGTTTCAGTAATCATAATTTAGAGATAGGAGTATGAGATCTGGTTCTGTGTTGTGTTCTCAGCCCAGGTTTGTCTGTATATCTCTAATTGTATCTCTAATCCACTATAAGTTGTGACTGATGCTGCCATGGGGGAATGATCTTACCCTGTGGCCACTGCTTCCCTATCTCAACTAGACATTAGCCCCACTTTACAGAACACTCATGGGAAAGACTAACACTCTGTGCAATATATGGGCCTATTAGGTGGTAAGAGCACAGCCACTATGTGGCATGCTGAGGTGAGTTTCAAACTCCTAAAAGCAGGTGGTACACTAGAATGCTACCAAATGCCTTTGGTTCTGTTGCTGCTGCTAATGACATTATAGCTAAAACAAATTCTGATTCATGAGATTATGGGGTGGGTGGGAGGGGCACTCAAGGCATTCCATGGCACAGCCAAGGGATAATTCAAACCTAATTTTAGCTTAGAACCCTCAACCACAGAGGAAGCCGTTAACCCTGAAGATACTGATTTGGAACTTTCTGGAGGAAGAAAGTTTTAAATATGAACAACTTAAAGGGTATCCCACCCCCACCACAGTATATCCAATAATTAACAAAAAGAGAAAGACATTATATATGTCTCTATGCATATGAAACTTATAGTTCACAGTCTCACCAAGACACTCTTGATTCTCCTCAGAGGTGCAGACAGTATGGGCAGTGACCAGACAGAAATTTCATTCCTCAAAATACACAATCCCGGGCTTTTGAACTAGATGCTCAATGAAATTTTACCTCTTTATTGGCTTTAGGCTATAAAGTAGTAAGTGCCATATAACTATCATAATGACTTACTTAAATAAGTTCAAATCCAATTGAAGGACACATGGCACATTCCAGTCATCAGTCAAGCATCAGGGGAGAATTGCAATGAAGTCTGACTCTATTTTTGATATTTAGTTGCTAAGAGCTTTTAAGCCCCACTCCTTTCCCTTCTCCTTCCCTATATCTGGTCAACTGATAAGAAAGGTGCACCCTCCTTTAGTGCCAACAGGACGGCCAAGTCACTTGGAGAAACAACCTTCACACTAGCCTCACTCACTACCATAAAAGTCCTAAATCACTCTCCTTTCCCTGTTATTCCAAGTAGTTTTTAGACCTGCTTAGGAGCTGCCCTTCTGTCCCCCATAGAGCTTCTTATTTTGAGAGCAATGAACAATATCATCACTTCTTCTGTGTATGTGTGATCATCAATCTCGACACTTTCATTAAATTTGGGGTGGGGATCAATTCTGCCCCTTCAGAGTGTTCAAACAATTTGAGAAGAACTAACAAATTCTACACAACCTCTTTCAGAGAAGCAAAGAGAAGGGAACACTTCCCAATCCATTCTATGAGGGCAACATTACCTTGATACCAAGGCTAGAGAAAAAAAATTAATAGGAAAATCATAGAACCACATCCTATATGAAAGGAGCTCTGGTTATGCAGTAATTAAGTCATTTAGCTTAATGATCCAAACCCACAAGCTGCTCTGTAAGAGAAAGATGCGACAGTCTGCTTCTATAAAGATTTATAGTCTTGGAAACCCTATGGGGCTTTTCTATTCTGTCTTATGGGGTCGCTATAAGTCAGAATAAAACCTATTGCTGTGAATTTGGTTTGGTTTGGTTATAGTTTATGAACATAAATGCAAAGTATTAAAACAAGTCAAACTGAACTGAAACTATATAAAAATTATAAATATCATGGCCAAGTGGTGTTTCTACCAGGAATATGAGGAAATGTTGAATTTACATTTGAAAATCAATCAATCTAATATATCACATTTACAGAAAGAAGAAAAATCATATGCTCATTTCTATACAAAAAGAAAAAGCATGGAAATGGATTTCATCAGAATTAAACCTTTGCTCTTCAAAAGCCACTTTTAAGAAAATGAAAGAGGAAGTCATAGCCTGGGAGAAAATATTTACAAGGCATATATCTGATACAGTACTTATAGACAAAACCCATTCAGGCTGTACTTTCTCCAAGACACATGTGTTCATTCTTCTGGCAGCCCATGATATTTTCTCTCTTCTTCACAACACCACAATTCAAAAGCATCAACTCTTCTTCGGCCTTCCTCATTTACTGTCAAGCTCTCACCTCCATGTGACACTATTATCACTATAAGGTCATAACAGAGTAGGGTATGTCATAATCCCAGAGTGTTGTCTTATGAAAGTGGAGAACAGATACAGAGACAGTCACATGGAGAAAGACAAATGTTAGGTGAATATAGGCTTATAGTCCACAGAACACCAAGAAATGCCCAGGGCAATGAGGAGCCAGAAAAATCTCCCCTAGAATGAATACACAGAGATTACAGTCCTGCCAACACCATTAATATTGGCTTTTAGTATCGCAATTGTGGGAAAGTAAATTTCTGTTCTTTAGAGCTGCCTGCTTTGAAGTATTTCATTATGGCAGCCCTAGGAAACTAAGAGACTGATAGAATACTAAATACCAGAAAAATAATAGAATACTACCCACCCATTGCTAATTCCAACTCATTGCAACTCCATATGTTATAGAGTAGAACTGTTTCATAGGGTCTTCTTGGCTACAATCTTTACGAAAGCAGATCACCAGGCCTTTCCCAGTGCCACTCAATGGTTTGAACCATCATCCTTCAGCTTAGTAGGGAGTGAAACCATTTGTGCCGCCCAGGGACCTAATAGAATGCTACTAATCAATGAAAATGAATGCATTATTGGTAAAGGAAACAACATGAATAAATCTCAAAATAATTATACAAATAAAAGAAGTCAAAGAGTGCATAACTTTGAACTCCATTTATACAGACTGTAGGAAATGCAAAGTAATATAGACTGACTCATTATTGATTCCCAAACAATAGGGCTCGGGAGGTGAGAAGGACAAGAGGGTGGAATTACAAACAGGTTCAAGGGAACTCCTGGGGTGATTGATGGATCCATTTACCATCTTGATTCCATTGATTAAATCACAGATGTATATATATATGCCAACAATTATAAAATTATGCATTTTAAATAGTCTTTTTTTTTTGTATATAACTCACTTTATATTTCTTACTTATTTCTTACTGAAATATACCTCAGTAAGATTGTTTTAAAGAAATAAGGGTAAAGAATTAGTAATCATGACAAAGTAACAGGAACCACATTTACCTTCCCACTCTAAACAACTAAAACAATATCAACAGATCAAATATATGGAGGGGAGGGAGATAGTTTTACAGCTTTGGACACCAGGCAGTTTAGGACATTCATGACTGGATGGAGAGAATTTTCAGGGTGTATCTCGTGAAATTGGGCACCCAAATCTGGTCCAGCAGTACCGCTGAATTGAGCAGACTGAGATCAATTTCAGGGAAACCAAGAAAGAATTCACAAAGCAGAATAATCAAGACAGAGGACAGAGCTGCACAGAGAAACATCTCTAGATTCTAGTCTTCAGCTCAGAATGCTTCCTCCTGATAACATATCCAAAGTATGTGAGACAAAGCCTCACCATCCTGTCTTCTAAGGAGAATTCTGGCCAGCCTCATTCCAAGACATATTTCTTCATTCTTGTGGCAATCGATGGTGTATATTCAATATTCCTTGCCAACACCACAATTCAAAGGCATCAATTCTTCTTCAGCTGCCCTTATTCATGAAAACTATTCTAAAACAGTTTGAAGAATAACAAAGCCTAAATTTCAGAGTTTAATAATTGCTCAAGCTTTTCTTCCTCAAAGATGTTTAACTTTTCTATTTTTTTTTTTTTTTTGATCAAAGCTTCAGCCACAGACTCAGATTGAGTAACCCAGAGATTAAAGTCCCAGATTCACATGATTCTATTATTAACCTGCCATGTGACCTTGAACAAATCATTTAAGTCCTCTGGCCATCTGTTTTCTTGTGTTTCAAAAGCAAAGAGTTGATGAGAGTTATGATATCATATTAGTTAAAAAAAGAAAATTTGGATATGATGACTCAGTTAAGAACTTCTTCCAATACCACTTTGCATATAGGCAGCCACGGAGTTTTTAAGAATTGTTCAATGAGAGATTCAGAACTTAGCTGCATAAATGAAGGACTTGTGAAAGCCTTCTTAAATTCAGGTCTCATAAAGGAAGGAAAAAGCAACTTATGTGGCAGGAGAAGAAGTGATCCTTACATATTGTCGTTGGTGTTAGGTGCCTCCAGTCAGCTCTGACTCATAGCAAGCCTACGTATAACAGAACAAAACTCTGCCCTGTCTTGTGCCATCCCCACAATCTTTGACCAAATGAGATGAGATTGAAGTCTGGCCATTCTTGCTTCCAAGGAGCATTCTGGCTGCACTTCTTCCAGGATAGATTGTTTTGTTCTTCTGACAGTCCATGGTATACTCAGTATTCTTCACCAATACCACAATTCAAAGGCATTGGCTCTTCCTTCATCTTCCTTATTCATAGTCCAGTTGTCATGTGCATATGAAGTGATTTAAAATATCATGGCTGGGAAGACTAAATCTTAGTCTTCAAAGTGATATCTTTGCATCTTAACACTTTAAAGAGGTCTTTTACAGTAGATTTTCACAGTGTAATAAGATTTATTATAAGTCTTATTTCTTAAGACTTAAGAAATAAGTCTTATTTCTTAAGACTTAAGTAATAAGTCTTATTTCTTAAGACTTAAGTAATAAGTCTTATTTCTTGACTGCTGTATCCTTGGGTGTTGACTATATATACAAGTAAAATGAAATCTCTGACAACTTCAATCTTTTCTTCATTTATTATGATGTTGTCTATTGGTCAAGTTGTGAGGATTTTTGTTTCCTTTATGTTGAGATGTAATCCGTATTGCAAACTGTAGTCTTTGATCTTCATCAGTAAGTGCTTCAAGTCATCTTTCTTTCTGTCATCTGCATATTGCAGGTTGTTAATGGGCCTTTCTCCAATCATGATGCCACATTCTTCCTCATATAGTCCAACTTCTAGAATTGTTTGCACAGGACACAGATTAAGTATGGTGAAAAGATACAACCCTGACTCATGCCCTTCCTAATTTTGAACCATGAAGTATCTCCTTCTTCTGTTCAAATGACAGCCTCCTGGTCTATGTACAGGTTCCTAATGACCACAAGTAAGTGTTCTGGAATTCCCATTCTTCTCAATGTTATCCTTAATTTGTAATGATCCACACAGTCAAATGCCTTTGCATAGTCAAAAATAAATAAATAAATAAGTAAACATCTTTCTGGTATTCTTTACTTTAGGCACAATCAATTGAAAATCAGCAATGATGTCCCTTGTTCCATGTCCTCTTCTGTATCCATGCTGCATTTCTGGAAGTTCCCTGTCAATATACTACTACAACTATTTCATAATTATCTTCAGAAAAATTTTATTTTCATGTATTATTAATGACATTACATATCAGAAGCTTGATCAGAAGTATAAATATGGCTGAACACTTCTATTCAATAGATTTATAAACATTGTTGTTGCTATTTGCCATCAAGTTGTCTCTGACCCAAGGCAACCTTTTACACAACAGAACATAATGATGCTAAGTCCTATACCATCTTAATGATCACTGCTATGTTTTAATATCACTTACAATATATTCAAATATTACTTCAACATAATGAAGTAATATTTATCAAAATGATATGAAATAATGTATGGAAAGGACCCTGGTGTGTAACTGACATCCAGGTAAGAAGAACTAATAAGGAGATATGGAGTGTGGAAACCATGTCAACAAAGCCTATTAAGTCACCTAACACTACACACACACACATACGTGTGGACACACAGACACTTTTCTCACTCTTGCAGCCCAATTATATTTAACAAAACATTTTTGCTAAGTTCTACCATATGGAAAGTATTGTTCTTCTTGTCTGGGATAAAATAATCTAGGAATTAGTAAGAAGAGATACCTGGAATCAAACTAAGTCCTTCCTGTTGAAACAATGTCACATTATGACCATGATCTTGAAGAATCTGAGACACTTGGTCCATCAGTAGATAATGGCTTCCACCTAGGAAAAATGTACAACTTCACTTTTGTGAATATAAGCATAGAGAGTCTGGAAGTGATGGGGAGAAATCCAGAAGAGGAAAGGAAGTAAAACAGGGAAAGTGGTGGAGAGCAGATGAAGTAAATCTTCATCAGTCCTTCCATCTTCCTCTGGTAACCCTCTTGGCACAGACACTCAAGAGATGGGCTCCCTAAATCTTGTGTTGTTACAATCTTCCACTGAAAAGTTCTGTCTTGGAACCCAAGGTGTCCACAAAAATGTGATGAGCCTCTCTGTGCTGAGATCTTAAGGAATTCCTCATTCTGAAGGGCATGCTGCCAAGGGCCTGATGGAGACACTCTGCCTTAAAGAAATAACATCAGGGTGGAAATTTGGCATGGTGCTGGAATTGTGAGTGTGAATGGTTTTTAATAGACAATCCATCAGAACTATTATTGAGACCTTCTACTTGGAAATTTATGCTACCATAACCCACTGCCCCTGCCATCAAGTCAACTCTAACTCACAGTGACCCTACAGGACAGAGTAGAACAGCCTCATAGGGTTTCCAAGGTTTTAACTCTTTATGGAAGCAAATTGTATCATTTTTCTTCCATGGAGTGGCTTGTAGATTCAAACCACTGACCTTTTAGTCAGCAGCAGAATGCTTTATCCACTGCATGGCTAGAGCTCATTTATGGAGAAAGAGGTACAGCCACAAATTAAAGGCAAAATTCTTAGCACTCAAATGTATTTGGCAGGAAGTATCTGCATTTGAGCCTGAGTTTTGCTCAGCTTAGAATTAAGATACAACAGGAAAACAGTGGAACATAGAGTTAGTCTGTAGTTAGGTGCTGTTAAGTCATTTCCAACTCATAGCGACCCCATGCACAGCAGAACGGAACACCACCTGATCCCATGCCAGTTCCATGATCCTTGCTGTACTTGAGCTCATCGTCTAATTCACCGTGTCAATCCATCTCGTTGAAGGCCTTCCCCTCTTTGGTCGACCCTCCACCATACCAAGCATGACATCCTTCTCCAGGGAATGGTCCCTTCTGACAACATGACCAAAGTAGATCAGACAAAGTCTGGCCATTCTCTCTTCCAAGGAGCATTTTGGCTGCACTTCCTCCAGAACAGATCTGTTAGTTCTTTTAGTAATCCATGGTACTTTCAGAATTCTTCACTAACACTACATTTCAAAAGCATGAATTCTTCTTTGGTCTTCCTTAGTCATTGTCCAGCTCTACATTCATATGAGGCGATTGAAAATATCATGGCTTGTGTCAAGTACACATTAGTCCTCAAGGAGACATTCTTGCTCCTCAGCATTTGAAAGAGTTCCTTTGCAGCCAACTTGCCCAGTGCTATACATCATCTAATGTCCTGACTTCTGCTTCCATTCTCAATGATTGTAGAACCAAGCAATGTGAATTCCTTGACAACCTCAACCTTTTCTCCATTTATCATGATTCTGCTTATTGGTCCAGTTGTGAGGATTTTTGTTTTCTTTACATTGAGGTGTAATCCATACTGCAAACTGGATTCTTCAATCTTCATCAGTAAGTGCCTCAAGTCATCCTCACTTTCAGCAAGCAAAGTTGTTTCATCAGCATATTGCAGGTTGTTAATGATTCTTCCTCCAATCCTGATGTCATGTTTTTCTTCATATAGTCCACCTTCTCAGATTATTTGCTCAGCATACACATTGAATAAGTATGGTGAAAGAACACAACCCTGACACACTCTCTTCTTGATTTTAAACCATGCAGTGTCCCCTTGTTCTGTTCAAATGACAGCCTCCTGGTCAATGTACAAGTTTCTCATGAGTACAATCAAGTGTTCAATTCCCATTCTTCTCAATGTTATCCACAATTTGTCATGATCCACACAATCAAATGCCTTTGCATAGTCAATAAAACACAAGTAAATATCTTTCTGGTATTCTTTGCCTTGAGCCAAGATCCATCTGACAGCAGCTATGATATCCTTTATTCCACATACTCTTCTGAATCCAGCTTGTACCTCTGGAAGTTCTCTGTCAATATACACTTCAACCATCTTTGAATTAACTTCAGTAAGATCTTACTTGTTTGCAATATTAACGATATTGTTTGATAATTTCCACATTCGGTGGGATTACCTTTCTTTGAAATGATACAAATATAGATCTCTTCCAGTCAGTTGGCCAGGTAACTGTCTTCCAAATCTCTTGGCATAACCGAGCGAGTGCCTCCAGTGGAGCATCTATTTGTCGAAATATCTCAGTGAGTATTCTGTCAATTCCTGGAGCCCCGTTCTTCTCCAATTCCTTCACTGCAGCTTCAACTTCCTCCTTCAATACCATTGGTTCTAGATTATATGCCACCTCTTGAAATGGATGAAGATTGTCCAGTTCTTTTTGGTACAGTGACTCTCTATTCTTTCCATCTTCTTTTGATGTTTCCTGCCTCATTCAATACTTTGCCCATAGAATCTTTCAATATTGCAACTCGAGGGTTAAAGTTTTTCCTCAATTCTCTCAGCTTGAAAAATGTTAGGCATGTTCTTCCCTTTTGGTTTTCTAACTCCAAGTCTTTGTACATTTCATTATAGTAATTGTTTTTGTCTGCTCGAGCTGCTCTATGAAATCTTTGGTTCAGCTCTTCTAGCTTATCATTTCTTCCATTTGCTTTAGCTACTCTCCACTCAAGGGCAAGTTTCAGAGTCTCTTCTGACATCCATTTTCGTCTTCTCTTCTTTTCTTGTCTTTTTAATGACCTCTTGCTTTCTTCATTGATGATGCTCTTGATGTCATCTCACAGTTCTTCTGGTTTTCAGTCGTTGGTGTTCAATGCATCAAATCTGTTCTTTAGATGATCTCTAAATTCAGAAGGAATATATTCAAGATCAAATTTTGGTTCTCAGGGACTTGTTGTAATTGTCTTTAACTTCAAGTTGAATTTGCATACGAGCAGTTGATGGTCTGTTCCACAATCAGCTTCTGGCCTGGGTTTGGCTGAAGATATTAAGCTTTTCCATTGCCTCTTGGCCACAGATGTAGTCAATCTGATTCCTGTGTGTTCCATCTGGTGAAGTCCACATGTATAGCTGTTGTTTGTGTTGTTGAAAAAAGGTATTTGCAATGAAAGTTGCAATAAGTTGTTGGTTTTGCAAAATTATACCATGCAATTTCCACCATTATTTCTGTCACCAAATTTTGGCCAAACTTTCCAACTACTGGTGATTCTTCTTTGTGTCCAACTTTGGCATTTCAGTCAACAGTGATAATTAACACACCTTGATTGCATGTCCGGTCAATTTCATACTGCAGAAGTTGATAAAAATCTTCAATTTCCTCATCTTTGGCTTTGGTGGTTGGGGCATAAATTTGAATAATAGTTGTATTAACTAGTGTTTTTGTAGGCGTATGGATCTTATCTTATCACTGACAGCATTGTACTTCAGGACAGATCTTGAAACGTCTTTTGTGATGATGAATGTCATGCCATTCCTCTTCAAATTATCTTTCCTGGCATAGTAGATCATATGGTTATCTGATTCAAAATGGCCAAAACCCATCCATTTCAGCTCACTAATGCCTAGGATATCATTCTTTATGTATTCCATTTCATTTTTGACAACTTCCAATTTTTCTGGATTCATACTTCATACATTCCATGTTCCAATTGTTAATGAATGTTTGCAGCTGTTTCTCCTCAATCTGAGTGGTGCCATGTCAGCAAATGAAGGTCTCAAAAGCTTTACCTTATCCATATGAGTAAGGCTGGTTTTACTCTGATGATGCAGCTCTTTCCCAGTCCTATTTTGGGAGCCTTCTAACCTAAGTGACTCCTCCTCCTCCTCTGTATTGGACAATGTTTCTGGACTATTCATAAAGTTGTGCGATAATGTATCAGACAATGTTTCTTTGCTATTCATAAGGTTTTACCTGGCCAATTCTTTGAGAAGTGGATGGCCTCTTCCTTCATCCTAGTCTGTCTCAGTCTGCAAGCCAAACTGAAACATGTGCACAATGTGTACCCCACTGGGTTTGAAACACTGGTGGCACAGCCTCAAGACTCACAGCAACACATCACCACAGCAGGACAAACCAACAGACAAATTTGTCTCCCTTAGCTGTTCAAAACCTGTCCAATCTCCCCTGTCCCTTCTGTCCTGGTCCTCCTGGTCTTTTTTGGTCCTTTCTCCCGCTTTCCCACCTTGTTGCTTGTGGGGCATGGCCTGGATTCCCTCCTCTCACCTGGATCCCTGCAGCTGACTCCTCCAGGGTTAGTCTACTGGATACTATTTCTATGAGAGACTGAGAATCACTGATCATAGGACAATCCTAGGATGGTAAGGAAAGAGAGGGTACTGTCCATCACACCAGGGCTGTTTGGAAGCTGAAGGTCCTAATAACTTTGTAGCTGTAGAAGTGACTCAGTATTTTACATGCAGGTTTGTGTGGTCTGGGGTAACAAAGCATATATAAACTACAAGTCACCCTATAGTTCACTGTCTGCATTTGCTGTTCATTTAAAACCACATAAGAACTGGGTGCTGGGAAGATTGGACACAGCCATTCATTGTGGGTCTTGGTGAACAAGGCTGCACCCAGAGGCAAAAGAGGGGCTTTTAGCACCTCACAAAGCCCCCCAACAGCCTATTGTAGTCTGAGGCAGGGCAACAGTGAACTCTCAAGATGTAAGGAGGCTTTCTTCCTTCATTTCTACTAAGAATCAGAGAAGGGGGTAGTATGGTTATTAATGGAGTTTAAAAGTTTTCTTTTTTGTGTGTTGTTTGTTTAAAAAAATAATAATAATAATTAGTGATTAAAAAAAATCCCCACTGGAAAGAGTTTGAGAGTGGAAGTTGTGGACAAAGTGGTCTTGGGGTAGGAAAATGTGAGTGAATTCATGAGATGTGCCATCAAGGAGGGCTCCTGTGAGGAGCTTCAAATCCTTGATCCTCAGTTTCCCTCTCAGGAAAACTGAAGGAGGAGCCAAATTCCATGAACTCTTAGGCTCTGTCCAGCTCTAAGTTCCCCAGAGGGATCCTCCATGATCTTAAAGGGATCTAGAGAAGACACTATCCTGTCAGGGTGGGTTGAATAAAGGTCTGGGGGAAGTTCTATTCCTTGAGGATCCCTTCATCCTGAAACATATTCCCTCTTATTTCCCATTACCTCAGGAGCAGAAGTAAAGGAAATAAAACTGGAGCCACAAAATACAGGAGAGACACACTCCCTTCAGAAACTTCCAGGCCCAGTGAAAGGCAAGGGAACTCTGGGAGATGATCCTGGGCTTCTCCTCAGTCCTCAGTTCTCTGGGTTTCTTTGGAAATAAACACTCCCCTCCTGCTTGTCCTAAAATACCTTCTCTGCTCTACCTTGGCTCTGAAAATGTGTGCTGCCCCAGGAGCACCTTCCTGGTCACCAAGATGCCCTGGAGGAGGTGCCCTGGGTCCTACGAAGGGTGGGATCTCTAATGCCTCAGCCCAGGGCTTTGGAGAGCACTTCCTGAGCAGGAAAGGAGGGAGGAAAGGACAGTGCTGTTTTCTCCACAATTATCTTCTCCAACCCAGCTAGTAGAGCCCCCTCCAAGCCTCACAGACCGCAGCCCTCTCTCTCCTGTCACCTGGCCACCAGCCCTGCCCAGGATACCTCTCGGAGAGTCCCTCTGCTTTTTCTGGGCCCCTGAGTCCTGTCGTGGTTTAGGGCCATGGGATTCTCTGAAATCCCTTGGGCTAGCACTCACCCACCAAGGACACTGTCAGGATTTTGGCTGCCTCTGAAAGCAAGGCCCCACGCAGAAGAAGGCACAGGAGAAGCAGAGCATTCTGCACTGTCATGCTCACTGCTTTGGACGCCACGAAGCCCTGCTCCTGGTAAAGGGATCCCATGTGCCCTCAGACTGGACCTAGAGCAGGACAGGGCACCTGAAGCAGAGTCAGCGAATTTGGACTGGGGTAAAAGTCCAGATCCAGCCTCTCTTCTCTTCCCTCCTGCCGTCCTGCCCTTCTGCCCTTCCTGCCTCAGTTCATGCTCCACTGGCTATTGGGTCTCACCCTTCCAAACAACAGAAAGAAGGAAGGAGAAGTTAGCCAGCTCAATCCTTAACCCTGCCCTGTCCATGGAACGGACTTCCCTCTCTGCCTAAAACAATCAATCCTCATACAGACTGAAAAAGTATGATGAAAGAAAACAACCCAGATGCACACCTTTCATGATATTAAAATATGCAGTATCTCTTTGTTCTGTTCAAATGACAGCTTTTTGGTCTATGTACAGATTCCTCACAGGCACAATTAAGTTTTCTGGAATTCCCCATCTTTGCATTATTACCCATAATTTGTTATGATCCACACAGTCTGTGCATAGTCAATAATAAGTAAATATCTTCCCAGTATTCTTTGCTTTCAGCTAAGGTCAATCTGACATCAGCAATGATATCCCTTATTCCAAATCCTCTTCTGAATCCAGATTGAATTTCTGGAAGTTCCCTATCAATATACTGCTGCACCTGCTTTTGAATTATCTTCAGCAACATTTTACTTCCACGTGATATTACTGATATTGTTCTTTAATTTATCCATTCTGTTTCTTTGGAATGGGCACAAATATCCATCATTCTAGTCAAATGTCCAGGTAGCTTTCTTCCGAATTTCATGGCATAAATGAGCAAGTGCCTCCAGTGCTGCATCGGTTTATTGAAACATCTCATTGGGTATTCCACAATTCCTGGAGCCTTGTTTTTCAACAATTCCTTCAGTGCAGCTTGGACTTCTTCCTTCAATACCATTGGTTCTTGATCATACACCACCTCCTGAAATAGTTTAACATCCACCAATTCTTTTTTGTACAGTGACTTTGTGTATTCCTTCCATCTTCTTTTGATGATCTTTGCACATTTCATTATAATACTCTATTTTGTCTTCTCAAGCTGCCCTTTGAAATCTTCTTTTCAGCTCTTTTATCTTGTCATTTCTTCCCTTCATTTTAGCTACTCTACATTTAAGAACAAGTTTCAGATCTCTTCTGACATACATTCTGGTTTTTTCATCTTTTCCTGTCTCTTTAATGACTTTTTGCTTTCTTTGTGTATGATGTTCTTGCTGTCATTCTACAACTCTTTTGGTCTTTGATCACTGGTGTTCAATGCATCAAATCTATTCTTCAGATTATCTCTAAATTCAGGTGGGATATAATCAAGGTTGTATTTTGGTTCTTATCGACTTGTTTTAATCTTCTTCAACTTCAACTTGAACTTAAACATGAGCAATTGATGGTCTGTTCCACAGTCTGCTTCTGACCTTGTTTTGATTGTTGATATTGATCTTCTCCATCATCTCTTTCCACAGATATAGTTGATCTGATTCCTGTATATTTTATCTGGTGAGTTCAATGTGTCTAGCCACATTCATGTTGTTGAAAAAACTATTTGCAATGAATAAGTCATCTGTCTTGCAAAATTCTATCATGTGATCTCTGGTGTGATTTCTATCACCAAGACCACATTTTCCAACTACCAATGATTCTTTTTTGTTTACAACTTTTGCATTCCAATCACCACTAATAATCAATCCAACTTGATTGCATGTTTGGTCAATTTCAGACTGCAGAATTAGTAAAAATCTCCAATTTTCTCATCTTTGGCTTGCAAATGGATGTGCATAAATTTGAATAATAATAGTATTAACTGATCTTTCTTGTAGGCAAATGGCTCTTGTCCTATCACTGACAGCATTGTACCTCAGGACAGATCTTGAAATATTCTTTTTGATGATGAATCTGATGTCATTCCTCTTCAATTTGTTATACCTGACATGATAGACCACATGATTCAAAATGGCCAATATCAGTCCATTTGAACTCACTAATGCCTAGGTTATTGATCTTTATGTGTTCCATTTCATTTTTGACAACTTCCAATTTTCCTAGATGCATACTTTGTACATTCCACTTTCCAATTATTAATGGATCCTTGCAGCTGTTTCTTTCCATTTTGAGTCATGTATCATCAGCAAATCAGGGTCCCAAAAGCTTTATTCCATGCATATCATTTAAGGTCAACTCTACTTTGAGGAAGAAGTTCTTCCCCAGTCATATTTTGAGTAACTTCCAACCTTAGGAGCTCATCTTTGGGCACTATATCAGACAATGTTTCAGGGCTATTCATAAAGTTTTCCAATAATATCAGACAGTGTTTCACTGCTATTTGTAAGGTTTCATTGGTCAAATTTTTAGAAGTGGATGGCCTCATCCTTCCTCTCAGTCTGTCTTAGTCTGTAAGCTCTGCTGAAACCTGTTCACTGATAGGTGACCCTGCTGGTATTCGAAATATGAGTAGCATAGCATCTAGCCTCACAGCAACTTGTAAGTCACCACAATACAACTAACTCATAGATAAGTGGTGGATAATTCTGAATAAGCATCAGAAAATAGGATTGGGCAGCTTTCCATTGTCTCCCCAACTACATGTTGAAGATTGCTTCTATTCTGCCTCCATGTAAGATCAGCCTTGGGGAGGAGAGAGCAAGCTACCTCCTGAAGTTATATTTGCATTCTCTATCCTCAAATCAGGTTGCTTTTAGTAGAGATGCAACTCTGAAACAGGAAAACAGTGAATTTGCAAAATTAGGAAATCAAAGACTAATGTTCAGAACAGTTTGGCACCGTACCAGCAAGAAGACAACTAAAAGGAGAAAGAGATCCAGAAATATGCATAAGAGTCCCTTTAAATCTTTGGCCAAATTCTAGACTGCATAGGTGCAGGCAAGACTCCCTGAGCCCTGGAAAAACTGAAATTTCACAGATCTCTAGTAGTGGGAGACACAGCAGTTCCAACAGACAGAGGGAGAGACCTCACAGAGCACCCTGGGCACATGACATTTGTTTGTCCCATTATTGGTGATATTGCTAAACTGGTGTCTGTTTCCAGATTCCTCCAACATATTTCCAATTTTGCCCCTTGTGATTATTGTGCAAAGAGAGATTTTGAGCTTATGAAATATCATCAGATTTTTACCTGCTGGATTGAACACCCACAGATAATTTTTGCCAAACTGTTATTAGTATGATGGTTACAAAATGATGATATTCTAAATCCACAACTCCCTCAGTGTTCATTAGACTAGCATTCTACCATAAGGAAGAAATTTCCTTTATCGCCCATCTCTCCTTTTTTTTTTAAGTCATCTATCTACTTTTTGTCAGTGGCAAATCATGATTTTAATTTTAATCTCATTAAATGATGTATATAATTTCTTAACATCATTATTTATTTTGATGCACAAATTGTTCCAGACATGGCATAGGAACTTCTCCAAGCTGACTCCTATGCAAATTTCATTTTTTTTAACTACTACTTTTTACATGATGTCATTCTTCTTTTAAGCACTTCCTTACTTCGTATCAAATATAGACAGATAGATAGATAGATACACACATACTTCAGGGATTCTTCTCAGTCTCCTCCCTTTCTATATTGTATTTCCTTTCTCCAACAATGAGAACTCTGGCTCCTGACATCTCCAATACATATAACTCAATCCTACAATCAGAACATAAATCCAGCTCTTCAAACCCATGTTGTTGTTGTTATGTGCCGTCGAGTCGGCCCCGACTCATAGCGACCCCTCCTTGGGTTTCCGAGGCAGTATCACTACGGAAGTAGGATTGCCCAACCTTCCTTCCGAGGAGTGGCTGGTGGGTTTGAACCGCCAGCCTTCTGGTTAGCAGTCAAGTGCTTTAGCCACTATGCTACCATACCACTGTTGAAAACAAACCTGCTAATTCAAGGTTAAGATTCATTTGTGGTTGATATTTTCTTTAGATTGAGGATATGTAAGTGTTCAAAAGTTACTTGTGTTAAGTATTTTTTTCCTTTTAAATGGTTATGTTATTTATTGAAAAACAGATTCATGCCATAGAATACTATGCAACATTATAGAATAACAATGAATCTGCAAAACACTTCATAACATGTATGAACCTAGAGGACATTATGCTGAATGAAATTGTTGTTGTTGTTGTTATGTGCCGTCAAGTTGGCCCCGACTCATAGCGACCCCTCCTTGGGTTTCCGAGGCAGTATCACTACGGAAGTAGGATTGCCCAACCTTCCTTCCGAGGAGTGGCTGGTGGGTTTGAACCGCCAGCCTTCTGGTTAGCAGTCTAGTGCTTTAGGCACTATGCTACCAGAGCTCCTGAATGAAATTAGTCAATCACAAAAGGACAAATATTGCATGAAACAACTAAGGGAGTGTGTCAGGGTTGTATCCTTTCACCATACTTATTCAAACAGTATGCTGAGCAAATAATCCAAGAAGCTGGACTATATGAAGAAGAAGGTGATATCAGGATTGGTGGAAGAGTCATTAACAACCTGCGATATGCAGATGACACAACTTTGCTTACTGAAAGTGAGGATGACTTGAAGCACTTACTGATAAAGATTAAAGATTATGATGTGTAGTATGGATTACATCTCAACATAAAGAAAATGAAAATCCTCATAATGGGGCCTATAAGCAGCATCATGATAAATGGAGAAAAGATTGAAGCTGTCAAAGACTTCATATTACTTGGTTCCACAATCAATACCAATGGAAGCAGCAGTCAAGACAGATGACATATTGCACTGGGCAAATCTGCTACAAAAGACCTCTTTAAAGTGCTAAAGAGCAGATATGTCTCTTTGAAGACTAAGGTGCACCTAACCCAAGCCATGGTATTTTCAATCACCTCATATGTTGGTGAGAGGTGGACAATGAATAAGGAAGACTGAAGTAGAGTTGATGCTTTGTGAGTTGTGGTGTTGCCGAAGAATACTGAAAGTATCATGGGCTGC